AAGGGGAAGGCGTATCAGCCGTTTCTCGATTTGTATGTCCCAATGGCGGTAACGACACCGCAATATTCCCGGTGGTCGACAATTATCGACCGCAGCCTTCGTTATCTGCGTCTATATTTTGACATTTCGATGCTTAAAAAAAATGATGATGTAGCGTATTTTTATCGTTACAAGTTCCTTAGATCCAATTCCCGGAATTTAAAATTAGACATCGCGAAAACCGCGATTTACATTCTCGAGTCGGCCATAAGAGAGATCCCGCGACAATGACATATCTAAACAATGGATCGCCGCTTTCGAATTCAAGAATCTCCGAGAGTCGTTCGCCGACACCGCTTATTTCGCACACGTGTCCCGATGCAAGCACGGATATCGGCGGTGACCGGAAGCCACCGCGAATTCCTCGCGCCCGGAATTGAAAGTCACGGGGGTGTGAATTTTAATATCATATCGCGGGGAAGAGAAACTCCTTTCGCGCGAATGGACGCGGGAATTCTCGCGAATTCTTCGCGACACATGCGGCTTTAACACGCCTCGACGGATCGTAATATCTCGTCGAACCCTGTCAGGGGGACAGGGTGGGAGGGGGTGCCTTCGCGGTATGTTTCGTCTTTTGGTATTCTCGGGCGAGATCCCGCCGACAATGACGTCGTCGACCACGCGAAACGGACGTGATTTCACGCCGGACCGAGCCGCGATTTTATACCTCTAGCCATTTTACTGTAAAATTGACAGGCGAAGCGAATATATTTCAAATTTTATATTTTATTGTGTAAAGTGTTATTGAAAAGCGCAATTAATATTTTATATAAAACATGAAGTGCTATTAATATTTTATATAAATCAAGAATCGTACACGAGATATTACGTAAAATTTTCGAAATATATATAAAGTTTCTCTCTATGTCATAGGTCCTTTAATTCTTATACAAAAAGCCTAGACTTTTTATAAAATGCCTACTTGCTAATATTCGACGCTTTATAAAAGAACTAATTTAAAAAAAAAGCCTGCAATATTTTTATATATAAAATTGATATATCTCTATATTTTAGTATAATATATCTGTATTATTTTTTTAGATACAAAAAGCGATTTATTTATATACCTCTTATATTTGTCAAAATGAATAAAAAATTGCATAAGGATAAAATTACCCAATTAAGAAAATGTGTAAAAATTTGAAATTTCCGATTCATTATTGCTTTCATATGCTTATATTGATATCATGGCGAGTAAAATAATTATAAAAATTGTACCAAAAGAGTAGCTTTCGCAATTACTTATATGACACCCTTATCGAAGCGAGATCTCCTTCGCGGTTAATCCTCGACTTCAAAGAGAACGCAAAGCGATGAATTGCGAGAAAAACTTGCCCGGATAAGGATATCACGCGTGCGAGAGTCGCCGAGCCGGAAAAGGTTAATATATTCTCTGGAAGCGCGTGAGGGTTAAGGTCATTAAATGGGACGGCGATGATGGTCATGGTTGTTGGCGGAATATAAGATCACAGATAACATCGTCCGTAATTCGTTAGCGCGATGCGAACATAATAATTTTAATTTGCACCTTAGGCGCGTCTTCCCCTCCCCCGCGCGCGCTCTTCCCCCTTTCTCGTTTTATTTACTTAATGACATTCATCCCTATGTAATTATTCGACGGCGCGCTAACATATAATTAAAAGTCGCGAAAGTGAACACGCGCGAGGAACTATTAAAAGGACGTTGACGTGTCTCCCGAAAACAGAGAGAAGGGACGAAATTTATTAAATTTATTAAATTTCATAATTTTATAATCTCTCCAGTTAGCGATTCTCCCTATGAGTCTAAAGAAGGATATCGAGTTTTTTCTCAATAAAGATTGGGAAGGGATTGATGAAAAAGTGACGTTGATTAAAGAAATTATTATAATTTATTTTAATTATAATTGTCTTTAAGAAATTTAGGATGCGAATAGAATACTTCATTCGTATATTTATCTATTATCTTTTTCTTCTCCTAATTATTTAGTAAAACAAAATTGATGGTTCAATTTAATCATACAAATAAAATTCAATGGCATAATAAATAATATCGCGTAGTTATAATTAATATCGCGTAGTTATAATTAATAGTAGATTTCAATGTTTTATTAATATAAATAAAAAAGCTTTACAAAAAAGTTTCCAGGTAATATAAACGAAGTAATTCGGTTTGACATCGAAACGACACGCGTTTGCTTGGGTTTTGACAGTTCGAACGGCACGTGTTAATAATTAATTTTTGATACGCGATTTAATTCGCATTTACCTTACATACATAAGTGACACGTGAGCGGCTTTTCTGAATCTTCCCGCGAGATTTGCACGCAATCGGCAAGATAGATTTTTCCGTTTGCAACTTTGAATTTATATGCGGTGCCATCGATCGCGCGACAGATGGCGACACCGCGATTTGATAAAAGTTTGGTGCGGGGGGTGGGGGGGAAGAGGAGGAAGATGGATTGGATTGAGTTTCGAAGTCGATATATATTGTATGTACGCGTACGTAAACGCGATTGGAAAAATCTCCACGATTGATAACGTTATCGACATCGTCGAGATCATCAGCTTCGTTCCCTTTCCTGATAAGGGGAGAGAAAATAGAGAGAGATGACGTTTGTCTGTGCGAAAAAAGCGGCGTTTAAGGACATCAGCAGAGCAACAACGCGGCCGGCAAGGACGATCGTGTCGCGGGACGTGTTGCTTCGCCATCGCGAGGAGATTCGCGGACCGAGTCGAGGGAGATCCGTCCGTCCGAGAATGAACGCGGAGATATTTTCAGACAATGAGAAGAGAATGCCCGCGGGAGAATTGATACGTTCGGGAAAGCCTCTTACGTTAATACCTCGCGGCCGCCGTTGCTGACAAACGTTTTTCTCCCCCTTTTTGTCGAGCGGGAGGGGGGGGGGATATCGCTGGTTTGGCCGGTCTAGCTTTTCAACTTGTAAGAGGTACGGTTATACAATCGAACCGAAGAATTTTGTCGATTTTATTATCATTTGCCAGTGTTTGGGAGAATATCCTATCCGCGATTTTCTGAAGAAATTTTCAAACATTTGCTATCGCCAGGAATTTATTTGTATAACATAAATGTGTCTTCTCTCTCACAGATATTAGGAGGCAGATAAATTAATTATAATGTGAATATGAATTTTACGCAAAGCTGGGTATACAAATATAATATATGATTGTAATTGTGCAGCAACAAGTGAGGTGATGTATATTTCATTATTGATTGAGAGGGCCTTCCATAATTTTTCCATATTTCTTCTTTTAATTCTGGTTTAACAGTGTGATATATTTATAATCAATCCCATGAAAACAGTTAGTATTAGAAATAAAAGCTAGAGAGTTTTGATTCTTTTAGGACTGATACGTGAAAATGTCTTCCATGGAGTATTATTGGAAATGAGAGTCAACGTAGCTCGCAAGGATTCTAGATTCTATCCCTACCCTGCCACGTTGCTATATCAATGTGGCGTCAGTCCTGGTCAGGACGCAGCCTTAGTTCAGTGTGCTTCCAGCAGTGCTATCGAAGGCATCGCAGGCTCAATCTTGCAATCTAACAAAAAGATTTTGCAGTGTTTGTAGTTTACAAGATCAATCCACTTCTATCAGAATCATAATAGATCCTTGTAGACTTAACAAATTTAAAGGCTGCCTGTGTTAGATTCCACCACTAAGATGGTATGTACTTTGATTCTTCTCTTTTGACTCAGGTAAATGTGCAGTGAAGCGAGGTGATTCACTATGACAGCTTCTCATTTCATATTTCTTTCCTTGTATGGGTAGGGATCAAATTTCCACACTTATAAGAGAGCTGTTCCTCCTCTCTTCGATAGCTCCGCACTAGTGATATAGTAATATTGAAATTATTGTAGATTGTTACAAGTCAATAATATAAATTTATTATATTTATTATACTTTGTATCATCTATGTGAATATATAAGAAAAATTTCTCTTTTGAATTTATATAATTAATATTGTATGTCCAGTATATATATATATATATATACAAGTTTCAACTTTTCAATATAATTTGATGCCATTTGTTGTTAACTCCATTAATGTAATGGAAACAACAGTTGTTAAATAACTGTGCATACAAGGAATATCCCTTCAAGCATGTAGTTGCACATTTGCCACTTAAATTATGAACCATATGAACCATATTTCTATGCCCTGCCATAACAAAGAGGCAGACCCTAGAGGTATAATGGCCTTTTCTTCCATAGATTGCTTCACCTCATAAACCTATTAATATTTTTCCGCTGTATTAGAGCTCGATTTCAGTAATATACAGGATATTAAACTCGTGAGAGATAGATGTAGACATTTTCAGACCTGGTAAGAGCAGTCAATGGATTGCGTTATAGGTTTTGTGGATCAATACCACACAAAATGGTCTGCGCAACAGACCAATAGGGGTATGCATATATACATGTATACGCAGAGATGCATCCCTCTGCGCAGCCTGCTAGGAGATGGTTCCTTTGCTATGCTCCACCCTTACAATTCCTGACAACAGAAAAAACCTCCCTTAGCTGCTTAATTGAGAGATATGACTCACCGCAGAGCTCCATCGATCCAGCATCCCAGATTTCTCTTCTTTGTTGGCACGTACCAACTCCCTGCTCCTTCGCAGAGCTATAATATTTAAACTATGTTGAGAAATCAATAAAATCTTTATATATTATATTATTTTTACATATAATATTATTTTTTTGTTTAGCAGATATTTATACTGCTAATAAAAATATTAAGCAATTTTTCTATTTTTACTTTAATTTGCATATTTTGTATTTCTTTGCAGTAAAAATGTAATTTCATAATTATAAAGATGGTTATTCTAATGAATATATTTTTTGTTTTATTGTAATTAAATAAAATATTTTGGCAATCGCATTTTTGATTTCAGACATTTTATTGTAAAAATGTAAACTACATTTTAACAGTCATATTTATTGTAAAATCTTTTTCAGGTTGGGACTAACCATGTCCTCTAAGAGGCATCGTGGGCGAATATTAAGTGTAGATAACAAAATTGTACATGAGGGCCATAATAGATAGGATGAGCGCATCTCGACATAACGAAGCGCGTTGCTTCAATGAAAACTCTCCTCGACCACCGGTGCCAGGTAAGATAAAACAAACTTAAATTAAACGAGTAGAGGAGGAGTACGTGAAAGAAAGCCATGTGAAATTGTTAGCTTATATTTTTTTTTTTTACAAATGCGCTAACAATTCTTCACGTTCTTTTTGTAAAAGAAACTGAATCTTTTAATAAAATATAAAAATATCTCCTTCCAAGAAAGATACAATATTAAAATTATTAAATTTTGTCGATAACTTATGGCTTTTTTTCAATTGTTACGAAATCGTCTCCATATAAATTTAGAATGTCCCAATTAATCTAAATGCTTAATATTTGTTATTTTTTATAAAAGAAATATAATACCAATATGTTTTGAAACTTATTTGAATAAAATCTTTGCATGTTTTAGGAGAGGAAACAGGAAGCTATGTCAGCCGGATCCGTCCACAGAGTCCCGCTTTGACACCTAGACGTTCTTCTTTCGCGACACTGCACGCCTCCAGCGGTGATTGCGATGCTTCCGCGCCATTGGGATTTGAGCCGGAGGGTTGTTGCGGAACCACTACCATGGAGAGCAATTTGCGTCCTGCTCACGAAAGATGGGCGGACAATCTGCACTCCCTGTTAGAGGATTCGGTGGGTCTAGAGCTATTTAAGAGGTACCTGGATGAAGAGGGGCACTTGGATCCGCTCATATTTTGGTTTGCCTGCGAGGGTCTCAAACAACAAGTAGATGTTGGGAAGATCCCGCAACTGGTGAAGCTCATCCATCAGAGGTTTTTTCGCAAATCTCGATTAACCATACCGGAAAATGTGATGAAGGAAGCAGATCGGCGGGTCAAGGAAGGCCGCGCCGATCAAAAGGTATTCGACATCGTGCAATTGGAAGTCGAGCGGCTGATCAACGAGACGACGTATCCCAACTTCTTCAAGTCCGATGTATACCTCCACTATGTTCAATCCTGCCAGAATACCAATTCAGGCGGTTGCCCGAGTTCGAGTTCGGGCAGTCGCGAGATGTCCATCTCTTGCGGGCCGAGTTTACTGCCCACCGTGCACGAAGACAGCGAATACGTCGACATCATGCACAATTCGCACTCGACCGGCGGGACATGCGGAGAAATGAGAGAATTAAGATTGACCAAAGATGTCCTGATGGCTACCCAACAAAGTAGAGCGATGGATCTACGACCGAGGCCAGAGGCGTACGCCGGGTAATAAATAAATAATGCGCTTTTCTTAAAATTATCGAATTTTATCTTGAAATACTATTCGTCATTCTGTACAATACTGCTCAGTTCTGCAATGAATGCCTTAACAGTGCTATCATTTCTTTTTGAAGCTTGATGTGATGAAACTCTTGCATAATCTGAATTAAATTTTAAGTTTACATTTTATTGTTACCGATTCCCGAGCAATTGACATCATCAAAAGATAAATTTGCTATCCTCCCCTTCCCCGTAATAACGGTTTTTTTAAATTATTTATCCAATTATATAGTTTTTTTTATTTCTATTTTTTGTTTGCAAAATAACTCCGTTTTATACTTTCCGTTTACTTAGTTGTTTTTGTTGTGCTGTTTTTGCGTGGCACTTGTAGCATTTACTTGCAACATGGGGCTAGTCCATATCACATGCACGTATCCAGATTGCACGCACAATATTCCTCCTACAATCCAGTATCCAGACAGGATTCTGAGCTTCAGAGTTTGAGCAGTGATGCACGTACCGAAGTGGACAATATGTCCCTCAACGATGGATCCATGTAAGTTTCTTTCGTTTCTTTTTTTTTTCTTGCCTTAATGTGCGTAGCTTTTATTTTGCATCGAAAAGAAAGAGTGGAAAGTGTTTTTAATTTTTGTTTTAATCACATTAAAATTTTTAATAATTTAATATTGAATTAAATTAATAATAATAACAAAAAGGAAAAGGCTCGTTTAGGATCAAGAAATTCGCAGGTGGTATTGCATATTTTGTAAATCTATAATTTAAAAGAACAAATTTTTAAATATACAAACATTTCGATCTCTTTCGGATCCACTTCAGTTTGACAATGCTGATTTAATGAAACATTCCCAATGTAGGGACAGCGTGTGCATCACACAAAAAAAATATTTCGCGTTATTAAGGTATTATCCAGTCATAATTTAAAATCTTTATTAGTCATCTTCACCGACTCGACTGCGACATCGATGTTTATTTTACAATTTTATTATTCGACTTTGTACAGTATTACTTCCCGTTTGTTTTTATTTTTATATTTTTTTACCTATGTAGTCTAACATTTCTTTCTATGTATGTTCCATTAAATTAGTATTGTCACACTGAAGAGGGCCCCAAAGGGACGTTTGTATATTCAAAAATTTGTTCTTTTAAATTTACAAAACACGCAATACCACCTGCGAAATTATGGTCCTAAACAAACTTTTCCTTTTTTGTTATTAATTTATCATTTGGGCCAATTATACATAGTTTTATTTATTTATTTCATTTTTTATTATATTTTTAATTCTTCTTTGATCTTGGTTAATATTGATAACATTTATTACTAATTTGTACATATTTATGATTATTATCTGCAGCGATGGAATGAGCGGTGGACAAAGGAGCAAAAAGCAATATGTGAAGCAATCTAGTAGGGCAATCAAAGAATCCGCGAATATAAATCGTGAGTCCATGGTGCACCATGTCGTCCCGCGAACCCAGCGTATGGCGTCCCCGAAACAAATGCCAGCGGAACAATTCGCGGAAATGCTCACGCAGAAACTGGAAATTCTAGCACGAGAGCAAAAAAATCAAGAGAAACTGGACAAGTGTTTGCAGCAAGGGAACGATCTGTCCATCGATAATGACATATCGTTAGAAGCGATCAACGGAGCAGTCCATAAGACTTTAGGTGATGCGCCGAAGGAAAAATTGCCCCTGGAGGAAGATAGCGATCAAGCGATCCTCGATGAACATGTGTCTCGCGTCTGGTCGGACCAGACACCGTCGAGAACTCCCAGGCTCTCGCCTGAGAGGAGGCGTCCTGCGCACAATTATCCACGATCTTACAAGCAGAGAAAAGAAAAAGACGTGGACTCCACATTCTCAGTGGATAGCGGTAATATCCACGATTTCCAGGATGGCAGCGAGCTCCTCGGGGCTAGTTCTATGAGTTCGCTAGGCTCGCATCTGCCCAAATCTAAATCCGTGCCATGCGATTATGCCGATTCCCTCCACAAGCAGGATCTTTATCTCCAAGGTAAATTAAATAAATTAAACAGACGATTCGTTTATGATATGTGGGAACCGAATTATGACTTTTAAAATAAAATGTTCTCTCATTTGCAGGTCATGAACAAAGATTCCGAAGGTCAGACATGACAAGACGATCAGCCACAAAGAAGTCAATGGCAGAATTAACGGACAGCGGGGTGAGCGTCGTCAGCGACGTGCCGCCTTCCATAAATAAGGATATTCGTCTGATACCCCGGTTCAAGGAAACAGACAAGAAGGTGGACTTGAAACACAGTTGTCGTCACGGTAAGAGATATGGTTCGCGGAGCGGATCCTTGGAAAGGCCAAACAGAGAAACATGGAGCATGGGTGTACCTGCTCAACCGTTTGTTGCTGATCCAGGAATGCCACCTTTAACACCACCTCATACGGTAAATCGAAATTATTCCTCTCTCTTCACATGTTTGACAGTATATGCATTACAAGTATATATATATATATATATATTGCAGGATATACAACTAGAGGAGACATGCAGGAGATTAAAAGAGGAAAATAGAATGCGCGCTAGTTGCAAGCAACGACCTTTGAATGTTTCCAAACAGACGTACGAGTCCGCGTCGCAGAGTCAACCGTACGTTCAGTCCAATCAATCTACATTGAGGAAACCGAAGCAGGATGCAGGCGATTTTACCATTGTTGTGTTCAGTTTCTGTGACGAGCAGTTTCCATACAGGACAAAGATTCCTGGTCACAACGTCACTTTGAAACAGTTCAAAGAGTATCTTCCGAAGAAAGGGAGCTACCGGTAACGTATAACATCATTACAACTTTGTTATTAATATTTGTTATCAATTTTATTAATTTTATATTATTTCGTTATATATTTTTTTTATCATAGATACTTCTTTAAAACGGAATGCGAGGACTTGGATATGAAAGTTATACAGGAAGAGATAACGGATGATACCGAAGTTTTGCCATTGTGGGAAGGTAAAGTGATGGCGCAAGTTAAAGCGCTCGAGTAATAGACTGAATAGAAAAAACTGAGCGAGAGAAAAACATGCACGATTTTTAACCAAGTGCCGCAATAAATATTTAAGAGATTCTACCGATACACACACACACACACACACACACACATACACTCTAGACCGGCAAATCGCGCTCGGTATTTATATATATATATATATACATAACATATTAACGCTTGTCACGCGGCCTCCATCTTTCATAATTGCCTAAGAAAATAGTTTTAATTGATAGAAAAAGAAATTATCGAATCGAGCAATATCGTTGCACGAATGAACGCTGCGAAAAAGGAAGAAATGGCCTCGTATTAAATTGTGAATCGAATGTCCTCGAAACAATGTTATATTCTTCTTTTCGTTGCCTGCTTCCAATTTTGCGTCAGAATCATTTAGACGCATCTAAAGCAGACAAGAGCGTTCTTTTTTATCTTCTCTCTTTGAGATTATTTTATCAACAAATTTACGCAGCTCGTGCGCGACAGCGCTTTAATGTACATAAATTAGTATGTAGTGTGAGTTTCACGACAGGGCGACGACATTACGTCAGTACGGACTTTGCCAAGCGAAATTATTTGCCGTAATTCCGTCTGGTTTGGTATCAACGTCACTTTTACGGGGCAATTTGGAAAAGAACGGCAACAAAAGCGCGTCGAATCGTACCGTATATATATTGCGACCGGTTAAACAATTTCTTCCTCTCGCAGACTTCCCATAGTTTTCCAAACGACTGTACAAAGGTAGTGATCGTGTAATTGATCGCCTTAGTAAGGTCCGCGCAGGCACTAAATTTACATAGGTGAGAATAATCACAAATTGGCGTTTAAAATATTACGTGTATTTTACACGAATAAGACATTGCGCGTCTTGCTTAATGCACATAATATATTTTACGCGATGCAACGTGCAATGTGGGGAATATAAAATTGAAAAAAAAAAAAAGTTATGAAAATCATATTTTTTTTCATATTTTATTGTGCCACTATTATCGTTGTCATTGTCAATCATCCGACATTGCGAAACAAGCTCATCAAATATAGAGCCTAAACATATACGTGACGATTGATAGTACATGTATCTAAAAAACGCAATTTTGATATCGGAACGGCAAACACCATGGAAACAAAAAAAAAAGAACTCATTAGCGTTTAGATTGTATTAATGTATTATCAGGTGCGGAAATATGTGCCTTTTTAGTACGATAAGAGATCGAAATAAGCCTAAGAAAGAGAAGTTGAGAGATATTTATAAATTGCAGTACAGGGGCCCAATCCTGATAGGAGAAAACATTTTGTGTCATTAATATATTTCTTCAAAAACATTATTAATATATTCCTTCAAAATTATATCTACACCGATATCAACGAATTTCCTCATATATCGGTTTCGACTATAGCAGTTTATTTAAACCTTTCAGTCTTATAAAAAATTAAAGTCTTCGGTTTTGGACTGTGTCTTCGAGCAAAGAATTTCTAATCCCAAGATGTTTTTATGCAGACACGTACACTTTCATATTCTTGATCACAGTATTTATCTCGTAGATGCTAATCGCGCGCGTATTACAACTTTTTTTTGGAAAATTTTTCTGAACAACTGATTTTATTTCTCTATACGTGTGTAGATCGCTCAAATTCTAATTCTTGTTACATATTCGAAAAGTAAAACTTATCTTTGCTGTATAAATATAGACTGTTAGTAGTTTATCAAGCGATAAGCATTTCTAAGTATAACGATTTTTGACTCATATGATTCAATTTCATGTGAAAATCAAATTGCCAACAAATGTTTTATCAAATTCTTTAATTAGTAAACAAACAAAAGATACTAATTAACATTATGATTATAATTTATATATATCTGTATATATATGTTATTGTGTGTTTGATTGTTTTATATACTTTGTGTCATCAATCGTGTCTCGATACATGTATATATACACAAACTATATATTATATATTAAAAAAAAACTATATTATATAGTTTTATAATCAGAGTCTGGATCTGATTGCCGTCTGGTGCCGTTTTTCTCACTCCAACTGCATGGTAAAGGCCGAGCGCCGGTCTAACGTAGCAAAGAGTGGCACACTGTGGCGTAGAATACAAATACATATATATATATATATTTTATATATATATATATATATATATATATATATGTTTATTTAATGTTATACATAATATATCAGTTATATATATAATATAGTGTATACATATATATGTATATATGTATATGTATATATATATATATATTTACACTTTTTATTATATAACCATATACATATATTTTATTATATATATAATCATATATTATATATCATATAATCATATATTATATATATTTGTATTCTACACCACGGTGCCTTCTGTTTAAAACAAGCATATAGTTACTGCAGTCTATTCTTATATAGTCAAAGCTTATACCTATCACATTCTAATAGAGATAGCGCAATAGCGTCAAAAGAGATTCTTAATTTATTCTTTCCAATCTATTCATTATTCAATTGATTTCTAACTCGTATCAAAAAAAATACATAAAAATCTTTTATTGAAGAAAAAGATAAATTTAAGACTGAAAGGATTAAATTGTGTAACATTTAATTGAAAGTACAATATAAAAAAAACAATGTTCGCCATTTTTTTATCAGGTGGCCCTAAAATCGATGATTCGATTGTGTCTTAATTTGCCGAAATTCGTTTCCTACGCGTAATCTCTGTAGGAAAGCCGGAGGAAAAAACAATAAAACCGTAGAAACGACGTACGTACCGTTTATTTATGAATTTAGTCGCGCCGCCACAAATCGAAAACGATGGCGGTTGATAACGTTTTTTAATTGTATGTACGTAATTGATCATCATCAATTAATATCAGACGAACGTTAAAGTGTTCCTGTACCTAATTAATTAATAATTATTATTGTATATCTAAAATATTGAGAGAATAATAATGCGATTTTCACTGAATCAAATGAACACTTTTTATTATATACGTTTTTCAAAATCTTTCGTCCTGTAATCCTGTACCTACTACATGATACAGTTTGCATCATTTTTAAAAGACACAAGATAATTTTTTTGTACGATGATTTTCATATATTTGCCGATGAAGTCATCTTCTATTGGAATCGTTTAATTTGATAAAGTTTGTATGCGACAGAATTAATTTTATTTCTAGTAAAATAATTCGAGAGAGAGATTTTAATATTTTATTAAATTTGCAATCAAACCTGATAAAATAATATATTTTAATACTGTACAAAGTTCAATAGAGCTCGATAATACATACTTTTCTCGTTATAAATTTGTATATTGCTAACAGTATTTCACAAAGTCTGTCTTATTCATTTCCATCGTATTCTATTTATTCTATTGCGAGACCTATTATGAAATATTCTTTAAAAGTATATTTCTAATAAATATATGTAAAATGTATAACAAAATCAAGATATCAAGTGTTTCTCAGGAAGATGTATATATCCAGTAAGAAGAACATATCGTGTTTTGTATAAATGGTAAAAAATACAACAATATTTGTATAATGAACCATCGCGTATGTAGAATCCATGCGTATCTATGGATCATGATTCTATTTATGCCATAACGATAGCCAGATGAACGCACAATGTATTCCGTATCGACATTCATCAGATTCAATAAGATTACCCTCGAGATGGTGAACAATGATTAGGAATCTTGTAAATATTTATCAATAACTGTAATCAAGATAACTATAATCTAGAATGTTACTGTGACGATGGTGCATATGCAGGATTATACGGAGCTTGTTTAGCATACACCTCGCTGCTGTACGGCGGGGGTTGCGGCATTGCTAAAAAAATTTCATTAGAGATAATTATACATGACTTACATGCATTACTTATGGGATGGAAAGAAAATTATTTGCAAATTTTTTTCTGATATCAACATTTCTATAACAGCCGAGAAATTTTTAAAATGTAAATCTGTGTGTACGAAATAAGTCCTTTTACCAAGAATTTCTTTTATAGCTCGGCGTTTTATTAAAAAGCTTGAATTTATATTTTATTAAAAAGACAAAATAATGCATATATATGTAAATATTTTGATGAAATACCTATTGAACTCGTTGGATATGGAGCAATATTTGGAACTGCTTGATTGTAGCTTGGTGGCAGATTTGCCTGGGGTTGAATTACTTGCACAACAGGTGTCTGAACTTCTGCAACAAGTACTCGTGTAATAGGTACAAAGAGATCCTGACCATACGCAAGTTCGTTTCAGAGACAGCAAGCAAATTAGCATCAAAAATTCAAATTAACGAAATAAATAAGGCAAAGTGCACCATTTAATAAAATCTACATTTTTTAATAAAAGACAATATCTCATTTAACTGATAATTGAGAAATCTTGTTCTTCAAATGTATTTTTTATATTAAACATTTTATTAAAAAGAGAGGAATGATATATAAATGATAGTGTGAGCGATGAATTGGATTATATATATAATAATTTGAGATTTTATGAAAAATGTATATATTTTCTAGTATCTTGTATTTAATTAAATACATGGCCTGCATGTTATTACTATGATATTTGATTAGTCAAATTCTAAATGCAAGCAAGTTAAATGTTACATAAATGAGCACAGAGGATTACAAAGAATGTTTATTTTGGACGCACTCGAATGATTTAAATCGAACGAATCACACATGTAGAATAAAATTAAAGATCAAGTTTACAAAATGTTTCATCAAGTTTATTCTTATTGATACTTACTATTATAACTACATGTTTCGCTTTCTTTTCAAATTTATGCGCATTCCAATAGTATAAAAAATAATAAATACATTTGCATACTTCCAATAGTATAAAAAAATAATATATATGTAAAATATTGTTAATATTTGTAAAATAAAGACTATTATATATCATCACACATTATCACACAATTATGTGGAACGCTGCATAAGTCTATTAGGTACATCATTTTAGGACATTCTTAATGTTATACAAAATGAAGCTGATAGAAATATCGAAATAAATTTTATACAAAATATTCAATATCAAAATCTAGTACACAGTTTTACAGTACATCAGACTCGGTTTCCACTGTGCAAGCTATTTTAGGCTCTAAGAATGAATTCTCCATGTAAAAATACTTTTATTGAATAAATATACTTTATAAATATATTATTCGAAAAAACTTAAAAACTTAATGACTTCTAACAGAAATAATCTGCTGTCATAAAATAATATTATTTAAAAAAAAAAAAATATCCCTGGACATGAATATTTTTACAAGGAGAATTCACTTAACGATATATGAATATGAGCATATATATATATATATATATATATATATATATATATATATATATATAAAGGAATATATAAATTTACGTTCTTTATATGAGAATTATCTCAATGCGAGGTTACATATAAAAAGCAGAGGATACAAGTAACTATGAAAAAATCTTTCAAACCCTGACATGCAAATACTCTTCGCAGAAGGGTGTGACGGAATGGTATTATGCCATGGCTCTAGATCCTAAAAAAAATGACGATTCCATTACTGGCCAATTCAAAATTTATCGATACTTGGTTTTATTACTAATGTATTGCGTTTGTTTACATCACGTAAAAATTATAGCGTAAATTGTTATTGTAAATGTTTTGTATCTTTTTGAATATTTTTTCACGAAAGCTATTGCTGCTGCTGTCTCTGATCATTCGATTTATACGTAATGGAAAATATTGTACTATCGAACGTGTGAATGAATTCATAATATTAGGAAAAATCACGAACAGTGACACAATCGATACGGGAAAAATTCCAGAAAAGAACTTACTGCCATAGACAGTGCCTTGGTGACGCCGGCGATACCACGGGCAGCAGCTACAGCAGAGACAGGATATACAACACATTATCAGTCCAATTACTATAGCTGCAACGATTATCACGGGAACGATGATGCCGAGTCTGTAAAGAAATATTATGTATTCAAAATATTGCATATTATTTTCCGTTATGCAAACCGTAATATTCTCAAAAATGATTAACTATATTATATTCTTATATTATTTTAGCTCTTACGTAAATGATCTAAGGAATTGAACGTTATTCAGAATTAATGTATCAAGCATCATAAGAGACTTATTTTGAAAGCGTTATGAGCAATTATAAAGACCTTACCCGGTTTTCACCGTAAACTCCTCGAGGTCGCAACAATAGGTCCTTTCATTGGCTAAATCGTAGCAGCAATAAGATTTGTCGGACGAATCTAGCAATCCCGGGCATTTGGAAATTAGCTCATCCAAAATATTCTTTTTAGCGCCAAAAGAACAGTCCGTCCCTAAAAAATGAGCAGCTCGTACAATAATATTCTCTTTATTAGCACGCAATAATTTTTTATACACAAGATATTCTTGAAAATATAAAAATATCTTTGCCCAAACTAAATCAAACTATTGTTGACAAGACGTTAATCTTCCTAATATATAATTTCAAATATAATTCAATTAATAAAAAACTAATTGTTTGTTATTATTAATAAATAAATATATAAATTTATAACTAAATATATATTTATATATTTTTTATATACAATTATATATTTTAATATATAATTCATATACATTTCATATACATTTAATGTTGTATATTTAATATATCTAAAAAATATATTAATATCATATATATATCTAGCTGTAAAAATAATTTAAAATATATATTTTATACACAATAAAGTCACTAGTATAAAAGCTCAGGAATGCGCGCATTCAGTTTAGAAATTACATTATCAAATAATAAACACGAATAGTAAACATTAAACTGTATAATATACATGAGCGAGATTAGAGGCACGTTTAAGATGATGCATTTTGTTCCTGGAAGAAAGAGAGCTTATCAGAGTTTTGATAAACTTTTCAAAGGAAGAGAGATTAATTTTCTACTACTTGTGACGTGTCTCTCAAGTTAGAGCATCTTTTTACTCGCATATTTTTCCGCCTTGGCAATGTAGAAAATCGATAAAATAAAAATAATGAAAATTCGGTAAAATAAAATAATAAAAATTTGTAAGCGAAAATCTAAGAGATGTCAGGACGATACTAAAATTGGATAAAATATAGATATAGAAATATAGATTCGTTAGCCGCGCAATTATCGAAGAAGTAGGAATATATATAAAGATACGTACAAAGAAAGGAGAGAGACACGCAAACGTAAGCAAGCGAACACGTAATCGAAAACGAGAAATGTGAAGCGAGCGAAATGACGATAATTTTGAGCTATTATAAGCGAGAAAGACCGGTTATAATTTCAAGACATTATTTTGAATAAAAAATAATGTCTTGCTGTGAAGAGTTAAGTTCCATAAAAATTTTGAGTGGTTATTTTTATTTATAATCGAAGCCTTGCAAATTAAGGAAAATAATAAAAGTACACGAAAGAATTCAATTGTTTTACGTATCTAGCTTTTTCCCTTAATTTTTTCATTCTTTTTCTTAAATTCTTAGAACATCCGATTAGATTCGAGAATATTTTTGATAAAAATCTTTAAAAAAATCTTTAAAAAAAATATCTTTGATAAAAAAAGTTAGACGGAAGTTGATATCAAGCTATGTTTCAGTTATCGAGAACTCTAGTAACAGCTACTCCAACAATCGGGAATAAAAACGCATAAGATAAAATCATTTCTGCATCATGATTAGAGGCAGGATCTCGTACTGCTAAATGTAACTAATCAACATGTTTTAATTCACTACTATTGCACAAATATCATCTCGTTTTGTAAGTGATTTTTTGTTCAATTTTATAACACTGAGTCATCCTCGCCATTTCTCAAGCGAATAAAGTTTCCTTTAACGTCTTTCCTTTAATGTCTCTGCAACGCTCATAGAATCATTTCATCCTTGTTGTTGATCAAAAATTAAATGAAGATAAATGATGCGAAAAATGCGAAAAATAATGTTAAAAGAAATGCACTCTTTAATCGATTATTTGGTCTACATCCGATAAATTTTTCGAAATCTGAGATTGAAATTTTGAGATTAAAACTGACTCATTTATTTGACAAGCCACCAGAAGGATACTTAAAAAAAATTTTTTTTAATCTTCCTGAAAAGATTCTAAACAGGATATATGATACAAGATGATATATTACAGTCATTTAGAAAGGAACAAAGGATGAACGGAAGTTCATCGATAGAATATTGATAATATTTGTGCGAATTTGCATATATTCGCTGAATAAATACAGTCTGATTGCTGAACGATAACATTGGGCATTATGACAAACAACGAATACAATCACATTTCGTCAAAACAGGTTTTGTATCTAACAATAAGACTAATAATCGACGTTCGTTTCGTTGAAAAGAGATAATCGTACGGGGAGCCTCTTTTATCAACAAATGCAAATTTTTTCTTACTATCTTATCTCACATACAGAAACAACGCTTCATTAACCGGAATCAGTGTCATAAATGAAACAATTTCTCTTTCTTCAACATCGTAATGTTATTCATATATGCATAATGACACATTGTTAATTATCTCTTTATCTGATGAATATTAAGAAATAATGAGATGATTGTTAAAAGATATTAAAGCTATTAAAAAAAAGAAAGTTTCAAAATTATTTTTAATTTGTCCTATAAAAAAATGTGTACTAATACAATTTGTAAAAGAAAAGAAACATATTATCCATCTCATAATAGTCATCGCAAGATTCAAACGAAATTTCAATTAAGCCGATTTGTAAAGTTGATAAGCATTTGCGTCTGAAACAACGCGCATGATTCTTCAAGATCAGATTTCACGAGATTCGCGGAAAAAAAATGAAATGGAGACGAGTGGTTCAATTTTGACTCAATCATCCATATACTTTTCGATTATCTAACTTTTATGAGTCATGAGATTTCGCGTTTTATTCAATACGTTAATACAAAAATGACAATTAATAATTTGTATAATTTAACGATTATAATTTTTTTTTCAATCATAAAATGTGAAACGCACTGCAGATAACGATATATATATATATATATATATATATATATATATATATATGTATATATATTCATATATGACGCCAATAATTCTATATTGCATACATATATAATATACATATATAAATATTTTTTGTTCGAACACTTGTCCTGCCCCCTCTTCCTCGTCTCTCGTGGCGAACAATGAAAATCTTTTGTTCGCTTTTTGTTGCTTCCATCTTCTCGCAAAATTTTCTCCTCCCATCTTCTCTAAACATATCCGACTACACACTTGTATCATTTTACAGAAAGTGACGTAGCGAGGGCGAGGTTTTTCTTTTCGTCAAACGCGTGCTTCATCCACGCCACTCCCCATCGCCCCTTGACTCCCAAAAATCTATCGGATGATTCATCTCCTCTTTTACACTCATTTCATATTCATTCTCTTACCATGAACATATCCCGCGTACAAGTAAATCAGGAAGAATGCTCCCGCGAGGCGTGACATTTTGACTTTTTCAGATTTGGACTTCGAAGAACGCTCGATTAAGTTATGTGTCGCTTCGAAAGACCGCGATTGGACTGAACTCAACCACTCAACAACGAACGGGACGAGATTGGCGAGGGCCTCAAACAACCACAGACAACAACCTGCATCAAGTTCGTGATACCACCAGATACGAGAACGAGCACGGATGCAAAAAACGGCTGTGGGACGATCAAACGCGAGCGGAAGGGAAGCGAAGCTCGAGATTTGAAGACTACGTAGGAAGAGAGGGATACACATTAATCGAATAAAATGGGATTAATCCCTCTGTCTCTCTTTCTGACGGAAGAGTGGGGAAGGAGAAGGATGATCAGCTGATCCAATCGTGTCAGAGTCGCTCAGCTGAGCGTCTGCGCAGACGCGAGTGAGAGAGGAAGAAGCTCTACACTTATTTTCTCTCTTTTTTTTTTTAGACTCAAATTTTGATGTTACAAAATTAATCGAAATTAAGTTTGAATCATATTGACAGAAATGAACATTAGAGAGTAAAATCGATTTTTACATATGCACAACATCATAAATATGGCGAAATAAACTTGTGACAGCCGATTACATTCTATAGTTTTGACTGCACTGGGCGCACTAGCTACAAAGAGTGTGTTCCAAAATTCACTGCCAGCGCTGAAAATCTACAATTCACGTTACATAAATTATATATTTTCAGCGCTGGCAGTGAATTTTGGGACTTAGGCAAAGAAGAGATCTATCATTAATGTTACAAATGGCGCCAAATACAAATGGAAAGGCGTTAGATATAAAAAAAAATGCTGATATTTCCAAATAACAATATATCAATGTTATTTTTTTTAACATTAATATATATTTTATTACAAAATGACCTTAGTTTTGACACAATGTAAATTGAGCATTATGTTTACTTTCCTACTTATGTAATTAGGAAAAGATTCTTGATCCCTGTGTAAAAATAATAACCCCAATTATATAAAATAGTAACAAAGACGTTAAATATCTAATAAATAATAAAGTATAATATCAATATGTAATATAAAAAATAATAAAAAAGAAACAATAACATAAACCCATATCCAAAAATATTGCACAAAAATTAAAATAATTAACTATTAAATGCAATTTAAATCGATAAATATCAATGTTTCAAATCTTCATTGATGAGATCACCAACAATGTGTCCCATGTCCATGTCGTCTTTCAGTACAAAGGAATGTTGGAAACCACGTTGGCATAATTGAACATTCAGATCAGGATGTTTCGATACCATGTCTTTATAATATTTCACTGGAGTCCACCCATCACTGGCGCCATAATAAAACCAAAGCTTATCGGTATATTTTGATATAGTTTCATGATCAGCTTCTTTAACATATTTCATTTCTTCTCTGGCAAGTTTGAATACTCTGTCCAAGACCTTTGGATTTAACAAGTCCTGAACCGCTTTAACAGATCTGGCTGGAATACCATAAAATAAACCAAAAATGCGTATCAATAATGATTGTAGAGAAACTGGAAAGATCCCTGTAAAGATCCAAGATAGAAAAGTCAACACCGGTGCAATGCGTGATACCTGTGTGGAAAATGAAAAATATATGTAAATTATTCGTTTATACATTGGAGAAGTGTATTATATAACAATGATTGATGATGCAAAAGACTTACACAGCCACAAAAGAACTTTCCATTAGGGCTCTCTGCCATATATTCTACCGTAGGAAATAACATATAACATCTCCTTATTCTACCACTAATGTCATGATTTTTCAGTAAATTGAGCACAAACCAGGCACCTATGGAATGTCCAATGAGATGTAATTGCGTGTCCTCTGGAACATACTTTTTTATGAATTCTACCTGAAAAAAGAGACAATATTATAAATCATATCATAATATTGTACAAGATAATATATCAAAATATTAATTAAGAAGTAGCTGAAGAGAGAACTGTTTCAAATATACCTTGTGTTGAATCTGTGCTGTCAAACTATAGCATTCCGCCCACTTGTCATTGCCGGGTATAGCGATCTCCAAGTTGTCCGGTGGCTGGACGTGTCCAGCGTGTCCGACGACCCACACAGGTGTATCCAGAGTTAATCTCGAGTTGAGCGACTTGATGAACCCTTCGTAGAATCGTGGAACACCTGGATTCCCGGGAATAACGAGCACTACGTGCTTGCTGGAATGGGGTAGAGGATCCTCCTCTATCCAACGACCCTCCGATATCACTTGGGTTTGCACTTGGTTGCAATTTACCATCGATCGTCGCATCTTTGTTGTTATTCTTGGATCGTGCAACGTCAAACTTTACGAGTATTCGTAGAAATTGCAAAATGACAAGGCTCTACTTGCCGCGTTTGACGTTTGTTCTTGCACACCGCGAACTTGCATATGTGGCGGATAGACAATAAGATTGATGAGTTATTACACACACACATACACACATACAAATACACACACACACACAAACAGGTATGCAAAAAGGAATTACAATATAACGGTACAAAATTACAACGATGTACTAGGCTACGCGATTAGCAAAGAACGATGGAATAAGGTCTACTGTCACGAGCCGAAATAGCTCAGTTGGGAGAGCGTTAGACTGAAGATCTAAATGTCCCCGGTTCAATCCCGGGTTTCGGCAGATGAAATTTTTTTAGAATTTTTTTTTATGATTTTATGCGACGAGATGTCATTTGACAAATTGTAAAATCGCTGTAATTTTATCGATTTAATTTTCAGTGTTATATAAATTTTAAAGAAAATACTACGCTAATATACTACGCTTGTTGAATATCGTTACAGGTGAACATAGTTTTACACGACGTATCATTGAAATCTATTATACGTACTTATGTATATATTATACACATTCGAGTCTTTAAATTAATTTTGTCGATAATCCGGTAATATTTTTTTTACAAGTTTAATATTTTTTGAAAAATTATGTAGATTTTCTTACATCGATAATTTAATCTATCTAACAAAAAGTAACACAGGATTTCGCTCGAGTATTGATATTTTTTCAAATATTATGAAAATGTCAATTTTCGAATCTTCATTAAAATAAAGCTATTATAAATTCTGACAACGAAACATGTATTGAATTATTAACATTGTGGATTGCACATATATGCGTGCATGTGTGTGAATGAATTGATAGAATGGCTCAATTCAACGCAAGATGGAATTATTCGGATGGTCCGAAAATATCAAAATCCCAGAATTCGGAATTTTTAAAACTCAAAGTAACCATCCGTCACAAACGCAAAAGTTCAACAATCTGGCAGCTTTTGAGATTCGCAAAACGAAAGAAAGAGATGCCAGCGTTGTCTTAGAATCTTCTCACCTACGTCATGGCCGAAAGTCGAGACACGTCGTAGGACGCTTAGCGAAGATAAAGCGAAAAAAAAGAGCCGTTCGCGGTTCGGCCGCTTCCCATCGGAAACCGTATACGGGAAACGCAAATGAGAAGCGAGAGGAGAGGAGAGGAGAGGAGAGGAGAGGAGAGGAGAGGAGAGGAGAGGAGAGGAGAGGAGAGAAGAGAAGACCGGGGCCGGTGCCGGGGCCGGTTCGTCGCGGCTTCTCCGTCGGCCTCGGCGTCGGCGTCGGGGAGAGGCAAGGAGAGAGCATGGCGGCGGTAATTCGAACGCGGCGTCACGGAGTCCCGCGGGTGGCGGCGCACGCGTCATGGCGTTTGATCGCGCGCCCGCGAGGCGGAGCGTGCCCGGCGAGCGTGCACCCGCAAAAAGCGCCCTCGTTATCGGGGCGTGGCGCGGCCGAGAGCACCGGGAGCCGGGAACCCGACCGCGCCTCCGCTTTCCGCTTTCCGCTCGCGGGAAGGCGCCATGCTGACGCGCACGCGAGATCGCGTACGACGTAATCGGACGACGATCGTCGCCGGTCGTCCTTAGGCGCGCGCGGACGAGAGATAGAGTCCGTACGGGCCCTCGTTGCGCGGGCCTAGAGCCTAGAGTCCGTATCGGGGGGAACTATGCATCGAAGATTAAGATTGATTGAAAGAAAGAATTATACAATCTCTCTAAAAGCTTTTTAAAAGCTTGTATATAAAGAAGTAAAAAAGCTCTTTTTTAGACAAGTAGACGCGCCAGTTGTCAAAATTATCACTGTATTACTGTAAAATATAGTATTATTTCAATGTGTACAAAATGATGTTATCTCAAGTATTTAAAAAAAAAGAAAACTTTTGTCTTTTTATCAATGACTCTGTTTTGAAAAACTCTAAAAATTCCGGCCATCAACTGAGAATGAAATATCTCGAATCGAAAGATATCCTCACGGAAATAAAATCCAGACAAAGAACGCACGCGTTCAAACATGTCCTGTCCAAGGACGGTAACGGATTAATAAAGAGCTTGTATCTTGGAAAAGTTGCGCAAAATGATTGTCTTGTGAAAAATTGCACCAATTGAGAATCAGAACTTGCAAATTTAGATAAAAGTATTTTAATTGAAATTTCGAGACCACATGTCGAAGATTGAGATTGACATGTCACTGACTGGGACAAAGACGTATTTTGGCTCTCCTTTGGTTTCGATTACGGTCAAATTTCAGTGCGTATAAACTCTGATACGGACTTCAGGACCGTCACCGGAAATCATCAATAGCCGTTAGAATTGCGTTGAGAATGGATTGCATTCTCATCCAATCTTGAGCACAATGATGATTACCGACCGCCGTTATTTTTCCTCCTTTTTTTACTTTAACATATTTATGGAAAAAACGCACGACGTTTTATGATTACGATATTACTTTGTTTGTTGTGCGCTTGCCGTACATTTGCCATTTCATTTGTTTACTATCATATATTAATGGTAAACGCAAAGTTGACAACATTTAGTCTGGACTTTGGAAATACTATCATTGACGGAATTTTACTTGGTATCGATCAAGAATGTCCCGTTCGCAAGAATAAATATTTGTCATACGTATATCGAATTATTGAACTTTGATTTTACATATTTTGAAATGCTATAAGTCTTTATCATTAATAATTTCTTTATTTTGTTATTTTTATTTTTACTTTTTTATTCTATTTATTTCTTATATATTTTACATATTTTTATTTATTACAATTTACTATATTATTATTAATTTAGTAAAGTACACACATACATCCCGGTTAATTCATTACATTCAGACTTGAAATATGTTCAGAAAGTAAAATATAGAAGCGAATCTTGCATCGCTGCGTCTATAATAAATTGTCAAAATGGTAATGAAGAGATTATACAAAGCATCTCATATTTATAAAATCCGATCAAAATACATTAATACAACTATAAATGAGATAACATTTATAAAATTTCAATAAACGTTATATCGAGTTTTGGCGAAAAACAAATATATCTTAAGATACTACTGCGGAGAAAAGCAGCATTTGACTTATTACAAAATATAAAAATTATGCGTTTAAATTAGAATTTCTTTAACAAACCAACTAGACTCTTCTAAATCCGGAAAAGAGAGAAGGAAAAGATTTTTTATTAATTTTTTTTTTTTTATTATTTTTTTTTAATCCTATAATAGCAAAATCGCAGAATCAAAGAAGAAGAAATACGATACTTGACATTCGCTATCTTGAATCCATTATTGCGACATAATAATTAGAGACGTCACACAAGTAGCGACGGCTCTAACTGGGAATGCACTGCAAAAACAATCAAATTAAACTAATATCGACATGTAAAGTTTAAAAAATATATTTCTGTACACCTCGTTTTGAATGCTAAAGACAAGACTCGATCAAAGACGGTGATTGATAAAAACTCGAATAAATTTCATTATCCGGCAATTGAATATTAGTTATTTGGAATACGCGTTAAGATCGATATATCAAGTAAGCTCTCGCTCTATTAGAGCCTCGCGTTTCCAGCAACGTGACTCTAGGAGAAACTAAATTTAATTAATATCTCACGTAGCTCAATTCTCGCTAACGATTCTCAATATTTTCATGGAAAATTGATCAATTATCGATTAGAAAGCGATCTATCCGAGGAGAAATGCTCATCGGGGGGGAGAAGGGAAAGCTCCTCGCTCGATCGCGAAAGCCAAAGTCCCTAGACTTTGGGATTCTCGCCGATCGCTCCCGCATCGTCTTTCGCGCGATTAATTATCGAAAAATTCTAAGGAAAAAGAATTTGGATCCGGCTTCGGCGATCGGAGGAGACGCTCGTCGGCCGCGGCGGAAAGGGGGCGGCGCCAATGCCTCGAGGGGCGCGGCTCGCCGTCGAGGTGGATGTGGCTTGAGCGGAGGGGGCGGGGCGTGTCTCGCCCCGCTTCTGGCGCCACGGCGGACCGCCCGAACCCATAATCCTCGCGTCCTCAGTCACAATTCGGTCGTTGAGCGGTGCGGACGTTACGCCGCTCCGTGCAATCTCCGGATTATTCTCTCCGGAAGTGCGATTCCGCGTCCGCGGCCGCGTCTCGATTTCCGAGCGGTAGTCTCGACGCGTCTCCGCGTCTCGAACGTCCGGGAAACGTATCGAGCGTTCCCTCGGCGAGGCCGGACGGCAATCTAGGCCCGCTCCGCTGCTGCGACGTTCCGAAGCTATCCGACGTTCGATCCGTTCTCGTTTCGCGGTTGCGGGACATCGCGTATCCATCCGTACCCGAGAGTGTTAGAACCGGGAGTGCCTCCGCATCCGCCCGGGACGCGGATGTGTTCTCTGGAGAAGAGAAATTCCGCTCGGCGAAGCGCGCGACTTTAAGCTACGCCCGGCCGGCGCGTATTAAAGGGAGATATGCCCGAAGCGCCGACGGCGATCGACTGACAGTTGCCGCGGCGGACGCCCGCTCGAAGCGAATCGAAGCCGCGAGTGACAACGACGGTTCGCCCGGGTCGTCGGGCGAGGAGATGCGACATCGCCCGGGAATACGAATCCGAGATCGTGACGCGACGAGCACCGCTCTCTCGCCCCGAGACGTTGCTCGGCGCGAGATGTAGCTTGCCGCGAAGGGGCTCCGTTCCTTCCGCCAAGGGAAGGCGGCGATCTCTCCTCGTCTCTCGCGCTTGTTTGTTCCGTCGAGGTGCTGCTCGTTATTCCTACCCCGAAGACAAGTGACAGTTCCGTCGCGGAGTTTTCTTTCTGCCGCCGACGCCTCCCCCGGGAACAGAGACGTCGGGGAAGAGGCGTTGATGCGGACGGCGATGTGCCAGTGCGTAGGATACTAGGGGCAGAGGGACCCCGCTTCCTTGGTCGCGCCGAGATGACGGAACGTTGTCCGCCGGACGCGTCCGACTAGTCGTCACAGTGGAGTTCTGCTTAATCGCAGGTAATTTTTCCCGACGGAACGGAGTCCAACTCCGTTCTCTAACTCCGAGTCTCGAGAGATTCTACGTGTATAGGCTCTATTTTTTTTCAAGTATCGCCTCTTTTAAATTACACAGATTGCAAGCTGTAGGCTGTTTCGGTCGGTCGGTCATCTCGGAACGACAAAAAATAAATATATTTTAATAAATATTTTAATAAAACAATGTTCACGATTTTTTGTACCGCGGGTCTCTCGAGTCTCGGACCTTTCTAGAAGGATGCGCGTGCTACACGATTCGACGAGACGCTTTTCGGGAACTTGGCGAAACTAAGCGACACGATTATTATCGCGAAATAATAGCGTTTCGCGAGGATTTTCGCTGGATCTGATACGCGTAATTATGCGTTTCACCGCGATTATCCCCATTTTCGGTTCTTCCGGACAGTCGGGAAGATTGAAAAGATTACGCTTCTCTTAATGCACGAAGACATCTGCGAATGTACTTTCTCCCATCGTTAACCGCGATCGATAGGGTAGCAGGTATAACACGTCGCTTCGTCGTTAGACCCTTGAAAAATCGCGTTAGCCCGGTCTCGAAAATGCGGCTGTTAAGCTTTGAAGCGTCCGAATTTTTCCTGAAAATCCTGAGACTAATGTCACACTCGACTATCCTAGGTTGTAAAATTCTCTCTTATGCAATTTTATATTTTTAATTCGCGATACTCGGGAAACCAACTTAAAAATCAGCTTTAGCTCGCTTTCAAAAATGCGGTCGTTAATCTCTGAGACATTCGAATTTTTCGTTAAAATTCTGATGAAAAATAATGTCATACACATGGCTATGCTAAAAATAAGGTTGTTTATAAAGCTTTCTCTCTCTCTCTTATGCATAACGAGTGTAATTTTACATTTATTGCGAAATGTCAACAACATGCTTAAAACTCTATTCAAGATCCACTTAATCCACAACATCTAGGAAATCAATTTGATAATCAGCTGTAACTCGTTTTCGAAAATGCGGTTGTTAATTTTTGAGACGTCTAAATTTTTTCTGAAAATTCTGCATCTGATGTCACAGCGCGGCTATCCTAGAAACAAGGTTGTTAATAAAATTCTCTCTTATGCAATTTTACATTTTTAATCTGCGAAATGTCGACGATACCCTCACAACCCTGGCCACTTAATCACTCGAGAAACCAACTTGAAAATCAGCTTTAGCTCGCTTTCAAAAATGCGGTCGTTAATCTCTGAGACATCCGAATTTTTCGTGAAAATTCTGATGAAAAACTAATGTCATACACATGGCTATGCTAAAAATAAGGTTGTTTATAAAGCTCTCTCTCTCTCTCTCTCTCTTATGCATAACGAGTGTAATTTTACATTTATTACGAAATGTCAACAACATTCTCAAAACTCTATTCAAGATCCACTTAATCTACAACAAGCAGGAAACCAATTTGAAAATCAGCTGTTTTGAGACGTCTAAATTTTTCCTGAAAATTCTGCATCTGATGTCGCACGCTTGGCTATTTTAGAAACAAGTTTGTTTGTAAAACTTCCTATCTTTCTCTCTCTTTTACGCATAACGAACGTAATTTTACATTTTTAATCTGCGGCGTCGACGACACCCTCTTCGCAACTCCGTCCAAGATCCGCTCAATCCGCAGCATCCAGGAAACCAACCATCTAACAATCTTACGCAATCTCATCTTTATGCGAAACAATCTTGTTTTGAAACCTGTCGCGTCGTTTTTACGCGTTTCACAATAACTTCTCCTTGAGCGAAATTTCTAGTTTCTTCTTCCGGATTTCGCGCTGGTCGGGGTCTTTAATTTTTACGATATCGTGGAAACAAGATAAGAAAAAACGGCGAGATTTTTTTAAAAATTACGAAACAACGGATCAAATACAATATACAAAAAAAAAAGTTTAAAATAAGGGAGAATGACAAGTAGACGAGATGGATTTATCCCTGGCCTGGATCGAATCCCTTGGAAGACAGTCAGAGGTAACGGGACTTGCGAGTTGACGCGACTACAAAAGCGAGAGATTTTCAGGGGGGGCGGGGGAGGGGGAGGAGTGAAAGTTGAGAAATTTAAGGCGAGATACAACCCGTAAGTTCTCAAAGTTCGATAACAATCCGAGCTATCGCGAAGATTCGAGAGTTCTCGGATTACGTAAGCAGGAAACAAGCCGATATATTTTGAACGCGACCACGCGATGGTATCGCGTGCGGGGGCGAATCGCGAAGAGCGAAAAGATTCGCGAAAAGTCGTCGCGCGACACGGGCTCGAAGGCGCTCGTAAACAAAACAATCGCCACAGCCGGTACTCGTGTGCCGATCTTATCGCTTATCGGCGCGTATTTCACTCGAAAAACTCAAATCTAGCGAACAACTTGGAGAGAGAGAGAGAGAAAGGAGCTGTCGATTCTTTTCTTTTTCTTTAAATTCCATCAATCTAATCTAATGTTTATCAACAATAAAATCGATAGAGCAAGAAAGTAAACACGTGTCGGAGCGATTGCGACATTGTCGTAGGATTACCGCGAATCGAGCAATAATAATCGAAAGTTGAGCATAATAGGAGATGTTTACGTGTCATGCAGGAAAATGGGAAGAATAGAGAGAAAGAGAGACCGACCGGGGAGGAGAGAGGGGGGAAGAGGGAAAGAGCCAGCCATCGCGATTCCGCTCGTCCGATCGAAGGCAAAAATGCTACGCGTGAAAAATTTTGCAGCCGCGAGAAGGAAGCGGAATGGAGGGTTCGGGCCGGGTAAGCGAAAACAGCAAGCAGCAGCAGCACGTGGCTGTATGTCGCGCGCGCGCTCGCTCGCTCGCTCGTGTGTCGCGTCATGTGTGTGTGAGCGAGGCAATGACAGCGTCAAGAGAGAAGACGTCGGCTCGCGGTTACGGCGCGAATCCTTCCTTTATTTCGAGAAAGGCGAGATTCTCGCTCACGTCGCCGGTCCAACGTAAATTTATCTACGCGAGGATTTGTTTCCTCTTTATCGGACAAGCGCGGATCGCCGATAACCCGGGCGTGCGTTTTCGAGCGTCGTGGAGCAAGGATAAGGACGATGTCGAAGGGAACGTCGGATGGAGCCAATAATGTGGGACACCGTCATTTTCGTCCATCTGGCGCTGCAATTTCACGGGACACCCGTGAAGGACCACACCGTCCTCTCGAAAGATTGCTTCGGTAGTCCGACAGTAGGCTATACTTTGGCCCGAACATAATTTCGCTCTCTCTCTCTCTCTCTCTCCCTCTCCTTCTCGCGTACGCGCGTTCCTTTTTCCTCTTCCATTCTTTTTGTTTAGTTTAGGATTCCAATCGATGTCCGGCGTTTTGTTCTCGCCCGACTTTTACACCGGATAAACCTGATACACGCTCGGCTATTATTGACGTACGCGCATTTCGTGAATGAGTAACTTTATCTTATTTATGGGAGATAAAGAGCGAGACTCGATTGGCAATCGATACAATTTTTTCTTCCCACAACGATCGATAATTTACGCAAACACAGTTTCTAGTTTCACACAAACGCGGCAAACTTCCGCAAGCTGCGATATTCCGGGAACGGAAAATTTCCTTCGAAAGAATCATTAGGTTCACGTACGGTTGTTGCGATGTTTAATATCTTTTGTTGGCGATATAATGTACAACAATTATGATTATTAATTATGATATAAATAATGCGCTGCATTTGAAAGAATTTACTCTGGTCTTTTTTTAATCTTATTATATTAAATACATCCAAATCGTAATTTTCTGTACACTTTTATTTCAGATCTTTAAATTGCGGTTTATATCCCGCTTGCATCGCGATAGAGTATTTTTTTAGTATAAATCCAGAAATTTATATATAAGGAGAAAATGTGTGAGGTAGAGATGACAGCTGGAAATGTCTCTTGGATACTATTGACATGTAAAACCGTGTGTATAAAAATTCATTTCGTTGGCACAATATTCATAGCACTTTTGACCACAAAGCCACTCGCACACGTATGTTTATCTTGTAAAAGCATTTGCAATTTCGCATGCAGTCGATACAAAATGGAGTGAAAATTACGAAAATTGCATTCGGTCGATTCTGGGGTCCCCTTAAATGTGAGGCAAAAAATACCGGTGCTTTCGACGAGTGTGGTGGACACGAAGTAACGTTACGTTTTCAAGTTCACCGATATAGAAATCAGGCTACGAGCGTTTTCAGTTTAAGCACGATCGCGGTGCACACTTTATCATAATCACCGTTAGCATCGCCGAAGGAACTTTTTACTCGCATGATTACGCTTAATATCAAATCGATGAATCTCCCGCGGCATTAGTTTCGACGTTACGTTAGCGATTGACGTTTGACGCGTCGAGTGTGTTGGTCGTGCAAAGAACAGACATCTCGCGAATAAATATTAATAACACGCCCCGGGGCCCGAATAAATCTATGTTTTTACGCCTCGATAATGAGCGATCGCATAGTCACTCGTATTAACGTGTTACAACACAGAATGATAAAGAAAACCGAGAGTTTGACCACGTAAAGGGAGATCAACGGAAATAAATAAACAAATTCTCCGACATCGCACTGAGAAAAAAATCTGTTTGCGTTAATTAGAATTCTGGTAGATTCAACCGGTATGTCTGTTGGAAAATGGACGAACCAGATGAATCTGATTAATTTCTTCCTGTTAAATTTACCAAATTTTCTGGTTAATAATACTAAACTCCTCAGCACCAAGTCGTCTAAAATTTTTTTTCCATCTAATCTCAAAAGTCTGTTTAATATTCTGAATATCAACGCGATTATTGCATAAATTCAATCAAGATTATTGAATAAATTATTTTACGTTCAGTTTGTTAGAAATTAAACTGATAAACAGTGATGCAAGAAGAGGATTTAACGTTAATTCTAGTTCTTTATATACATTTCATGGCAAATATTGAATACGAGTTAAGTTAAGAGTGGCTTGCCGCCTAACGACAAGCAAAGAAATTAACGTAACAAGAAATTTTATAGATCCAACC